CCTCTCATCTTTCTGTCTCTCTCTCTGGTGAGTGCGCACACCATCTGGCAATTCTAAAGAGCGCTGCTGGGGCCAGCAGGTGTCATGTAAGGCACCAGACTCTCACATGGCTGACCGCAGTTCGAGCCCCGGGCCTGGCAACTTGAAAATCAAGTTAGGTACGTGTGTACGTATGCCCAAAATCCCAAGAGAAGAATGGAGGAGAAGGGACTGTGGCAAGGCCACTCCTCCTGGGGAGTGATTTCTCCCTGTCCCTCTCTCCATCTCTGTCTTCCTCCAGTTAATGTTTGTGCTCTGTAGCAAAAACCTAAAAAAAAAAGAGAGTGACAGACAGCGATTCCAACTGAGCAGCATGGTTGGGGGACCCGGCTGCCTTCTCCATGGCAGATCCTGTCTCCAATGAAGATGGACGCCCATCTGTGTGCCATCAGCACTGCCTGCTCCTTCCTGAGCTGTCACTCCATCTTGGTCCAGGTTCTCCTTGGATGTGTGTCTTCCCAGGGGTAGGGCCTTGGAGAGTGCCAGGGCAGCCCGTTCTGCCAGGCCGCTATAGAAAGAGCCCCCGTACTGGGCAGACAGGGGGACCTCTAATGTCCCTTGGATCTGCGGACTTTTCAGCCCCATAATAATCTCCTCAAAGAGAGCATGATCTATGGAAACGCTACCGTCTTTCAAAAAATTTACCACTTATTATAAGTTAAGTAATTCCTGTATCTGACTATACAAAGCTATCTATCTATCTATCATCTATCTATCTATCTATCTATCTATCTATCATCTATCTATCTATCTATCATCTATCTATCTATCTATCTATCTATCTATCTATCTACCATCTATCTATCATCTATCTATCATCTATCATCTATCTATCTACCTATCTACCTATCATCTATCTATCAATCTATCTATCATCTATCTATCTATCTATCTATCTATCTATCTATCTATCTATCTATCTATCATCTATCTATCATCTATCTATCTATCATCTATCTATCTATCTATCTATCATCTATCTATCTATCTATCAATCAAAATTCACAGAACTATAGTTATTCCCACAAGAAGTCAACTTTACTTGTATGGTAATTTTTAAAAGTTCAAAATGTTTAAGCACTTTTTGATCTATAAAATGCACCTGAGTATATGTACATACTTTTGATAACATTATATATACTAATATGTATATACTGATGATGACGTATATGTAAAATTTGGTTTCCTGCTCTTTTTTACCTAACATAAAATCAGTTGTTTTCAATTTTTTCTATTCCCTCAAGCCTTCCTTTTTTTATGGAGAGGTTTTTGCTGTAGGGCGCGTGCGCTTGCCAGAAAGACAGAGAGAGACAGAGAGACAGAAAGAGAGAAATCACCCCCCAGGGGGGATGGCCACGCCGCAATCCCTTCTCCTCCATTCTCCTCTTAGGATCTTGGGCACGCACGCACACGCACTTGGCGTGAGTTTAAGCCACTGGGTCTGGGACTCGAACCTTGGGTCGATTACATGGGAGTCCAGCGACATAGCCATTACACCAACTTCTGGTCCCTCAAGCCTCCTTTTAATGGGGTTGTGTTATTCATTGAGTGGAATGAAAATTAGTTACTGTGTAACCAGGGCTTAGCACGGTGCTTGGCATGAAAAAGCTCAAACTTGGTGACTATTATTTCTATTAGTACTGTTGCTCTAAGTTATTTAATCTTGTCCTTTTCGTTAGAAGTGTAGATGGTTTCCATTATTTACTTTAAATACTCCCTGGAGGAGTAATACTTTTCCTGGTTATTAGGATCATTTCTTCGGGAGGCTACCCATTTCTAAACAAATAACATTCATATTCTATAGTCAGGCCTGTTTTCACTAAATTCGGAGTGAATTTTGTGATGACGGGGTCCGGAGAAGCCCACTGGAGACTGAGAAGGCTTGGTGGTCTCCCCCCATGGTATCCAGGGTGCCCAGGCTTTGTGACCAAACGACCTCTCCTCCACATTCTGGTCTCTGCTACTTGCCTGGTGCTTCGCCCTCAGCCTACGCGATGGAAACCTGGCCGCCATCTTTACTCCTTCACACTCTGTAGTGCTTCCCCCTCTTCCTTTCACCACCACATCTCATAAAAAATAATGCTACAGGTTGGCCCTATGACCTAGTGGTTAAAAGCCCGAGCCACACAGCTGATTGTGGTTCAAATCCCAGCTTCAAAACCACACCAGGTGCATGTGCACACATGCCCCAAACCCTAAGATGATGGAGAAATGGAGAAGGGATTGTGACGTGACTACACTCCACTGGGGGGGAGGGGGGGGCTTTCCCTCTCTCTGTCTGTCAAATGCACATGACCTAGGTAATTTTAAAAAAAAGAACAAGAAGGCGGCCTCTATCTGAAAAACCTACCTCTGAAGTTTCAAGACCAATTTCTACATCACCATCAAGACCCTGCCTGAATGGCACGTTTGCTGGGACACTCGCCTGATTATCTGAGTGGCCGCCACCCTAGTGCCCATTACTGGGGACTGCGAGCCATGGAAGAACAGCTCTGTTTATCTTCCTATTCCTGAGTGTGGCACCAGGGTGGAAACCTGGAGACTCTGTGAATCTGCTGAGAGGCCTAGGGGACGGGGGGACTGTGGGGTAGACCTGGGGCTCGATGGCCAACCCGTGGCGGTGCTCAGCAAACCCAGTCACAGTCAGCTTCCCCAGCTCCCTGTGTCAGGCAGTAACGAGCGTCGCTCCAGGGCTCGGAGATGCCACATATCCTGGAGAGGCTGCTGTTTGACTTGACCCCAGTGAAATACTCTCCCGTGACACAGATGGAAGGGCAGGTCTCACCTACCTCCACTCCTGGGTCACCCTTCTCTCCGGCTTCTCCTTTCTCTCCCTGTGGGCACAAAACACCATGGCATGAATGCGGTGCCTCGGGGCCTGGGCACAGCCACAGTGCCAAACTAGATTGGGGCTAGCCTGGTCTAGGTGTGAGCAAGGAACCTGGGGGGACTTCGAGGCAATTAGTAGGACAGAAGATTGGGCAGGGGCTGTGTGTGTTCGCTGTGGTGGACAGACTCTGGGGTGTGTCTGTGACCCGTCTCTAAGCCACAGAATAGGGCATATGCCAGAGGTGATAGGCTGCCACTCCATGAGGATGTTATGCAGGTGCGTCTCTCTCTCTCTCCCACACACACACGTGCACACACACATGCACACATGCACGGCCCTGGCTTGCTGGCACTCAAGGGACCCTCTCGCTGGCCTTAGCCTTGAAAAGCTGCTGCCACATGACCTGCCCAGTTTAGGGGGACTGTGTCAGGGAGCTGCAGATAGCCTACAGGAGCTGAAGGACTCACTCCCACTACAGCCAGGCATTGGATTCTGCCAACAGCCAGTGAGCTTGGAAGAGGACCCCTGTCTCCCGATGAGAATGCACATGGCTGCCAGCTTGATCACAGCCCCCTGAGACCCAAGCGCGGGAGCCAGTCAAGGCGTACCAGGACTCCTGACCCATAGAATCTAGGGGACGATCAAGTGTTGGAAGCAGCCAAGTTGGTGGTGATCTGATATGCAGCAATAGGACATGAAAATGTGCATGGCTCCAGAGCCTCTCGGAGAGGGGACATCAGGGTAGGGACAGGGAGGAGGTGGGGTGCTGGTAAGGAAGCTTCCACACCCTTCGTGGAACTCTGCCTCCATCCTGGAGCTGTGCGGTGAAGTGGGAAGGACACAGTCTGCCCAGGGATTCCAACACCGGGTCAGACAGACTGAGGCTCTTTCTTCTAGGGAGAAAATTCTGAATTCGAGATTCTAGCACCTTTGAATGGGCTCACGCTTCGAGACAGAGGCCAGCATGTTCGTTGTGAGCTAAGGAAGCTGGAACCTCTGTCTGCTCTCAAATGCAGTAGCTGCTTATTTAGAGGCCCTCAGGCCATGCAGCAAGGTTTGGGTCATTGCAGTTTGTCGCAGTGCTAGGTGCCTGCTAGCCTGGCAGCCCGGGTGAGGAGTATCCCCGTTCAAGTGCCCTCCTCCTCCGCAGCTGCTGGGACAGCCTCGGCACCCTGCCCTCTCGCCTTACTGTAAATCCCGGGAGCCCGATTGGGCCAGGCAATCCTGTTGCTCCTGGTCTCCCTGGGCCACCTGGTTCTCCTTTCTCCCCAGTTGGGCCGTCTAGACCCTACAGATTAACAAAGATCTCTGTTAGTCAAGCTCAAGGTGGGCATGCTGAGAGCCCATGACCACTGGCATGCATGACTCCTTCCTCCAAGGGTGGATGTCTAGGAGGTGCCCGTTTCACAGGTGAAAACAGAGGCCTGAGAAGGCCCCACAAGTTAGCAGCCCAGGGGAAACAGGCTGAGGCCCCTTTGGCCCACACAAGCTTTCCTCGGAACCGGGCTTCTGCCTGCTTTCCAGAGAGGCTGCTTTACACCCATGGCTTCCTCTCCCAGCAACCCCCTGGGCTGTCCAGGGAAGGTATATAATCCCCATTTTAGAGACAAGGAGCCTCTGCAAGGCTCAGCGACTTTCCCAAGGCCACAGATAGGTCAGGATGAGACAGAAACTGGCCTTCCTGAGGTGAGAGGCTTTAGGGGAAACGGAGTGAACCCTGCCCCCACCTCCTGGCATAAGCCAAGGCAGCAGCAGCAGCAATAGCACGTGTCGAGCCTCAGAGCCGGCATGCTCGGGCTGGCACCTGTGCAGGGCAGCGGCCTTGCCACTCACCGGCGAGCCTGCTTGTCCCATGTCCCCTTTCTCTCCCTTCTCTCCTGGGCTCCCCGGGTGTCCACTTTCTCCCTTTGTTCCTGGAGGCCCATCCTTTCCTGGAGGTCCTTGGGGACCGGGGGGCCCCACGTCTCCTGGCTTGCCTCGAGGTCCCTTTTGAAAATATCAACACTTCTTAGATGCATTAAAGGAGAAAAGGGAGTAAGAACAGAGGGCGGGAGGTCCAGAGGATGGGGCTTTTGGCGCTCGAGTGGTGCAGGGCAAGGGCCCACCACTGGAGCTACCTGGCTCCTTCTGGGTCTGCAGCGGGGGCCCCTCTCCCCACCTGTGCCCTCTCCCTCCTGCAGAGCTCACACCTGCAGGTCCCAGCTCACACAGGGCCTGTTCCAGAGCTTTTCTGCCACTTCAGCCCCAGCGCAAGTGCATCTGGGGAAATGTCTGTTCTTACCTTTTCCCCATCGTGTCCTGGAGGGCCTGGCAGCCCAATCTCCCCCTGCAGCCAGAACAGCCATAGGTGATTCTCAGAGTAGAGATAACAACTCACGCAGGCGGCCTGCAGGCCAGGCATCCTCTGCACTGCCTTGTAGCAATGTCTCATTTAAGGCCATCACAAGGTGTGTAGGATCACGTGTCACACGACAACGTGGTTGACGTCATTACACATTTACGAGGGACCGTGTACACAGCGGTGGTCCTATGAGCTTTTATTAGGCTAGCCCAGATGACTGAGGGGCATGGTAGGTTACACTATCTGGTGTGTGTAAGGACACTGAAGTGTGCACAATGATGCGTTTCTCAGAGCATGTCGCTGTCGTTAAGCAGCACCGACTGCACTTCTGCTATCTCTGCTTACAGATCTGTCCTGAAAAGCAGAGTTTTGTGCCCAGCATTCATAGTTAGATTTGGCGCTCAGGCATTCTGGCTCCATGGTCCCCGTTTCAGCCACAGCCTTGCACTGCTGCCTCTGAGAGCCCTGGGCACCCTGTGGATCTCCGGGAGGAGGTGCTTGCCTCCCTGGCTCCTTGGAACCCAGTCTTCTTGTCCTGGGAGCATCTTCACACCAAGTCCCTTGCTTAGGTCATAGAAGGAGTTAAGGGAGGTGCCACTAAGAGGAGAAGAGGGAATTCTGCCTGATAGATCTGGGAGGCTTCGAGGAAGAGGAGGTCTTTGAGTTAGGCTTACAATAGAAGGGATTTGAAAGGTAGGGAAGGGGAAAGGGACTTGCAGAGCAGGGGGCTCATGAGCAGAGGACAGAGGGGCAGACATGAGGACAAAGGGCAAACCTGAGAAAAACCACAGGGGTGAGTGCACAGGAATAAAAGAAAAATTAAGGCAGGGAATGAGGGAGGGTAGAGGTTTCTGAAGGCTCAACACCATGTTCCTTGATGAAGCGGTTGGGGTCCCAGCTGTGGGTCCGGTAGGGGAAGGAGTGTGTCTAACTCAGGCTCCACAACATCAGAGGGGTCTGTGAATTACAGGCTCCCAAGAAGATGGCGAGGGAGGAATGGCAGGGCTGAGGGCCGAGGGTGGGGAGGAGTGAGAGTGGCTATGCCGATGGGGGCGGGGCAGGCCTGGGGTGCCTCAGAGCACATGCCAGGGTGTGGTGGTGGGGTTCTGGGAAGACGAGAGGCCCCAGGGTCATGTGCTCAGGGTGTACACGGTGCCTTTGCAAGGTCTCCACCCCCTGAACCTTTACCTTCTGGCCCGGACTCCCTGGAGCTCCAGGTGGACCAATTTGCCCAGGAAGACCAGGAGGCCCCTAGGAAAGAAAGGAAGATACATGGGAGAAATTCATTTTGTTTGTTTTATTTTTTGAGAGCTGTTTGTTATAGGGAGACCTGCTGACCCCAAGAGCTTTCTGCTACATCCCAGCAGCCAATCACAGAGGACTATATGGAGGCTGGCTTACAGATACCAATTTCAGACATTTCTTCAGAGGCAGAAGTACTTTTTTGCAAAAGAAATAACATGGGGAACTCCCACATGCAAACATTGGCTGTATTTGGGTTGAAGTGGGGGACGGTTTCGAGGGCCATGCCAATGGTCTCTCTCTGCCCTGTAGTCTAGGGCACCCCAGAGGGCTGCCTGGGCTCCAAGAAGATAAATCACACCTTATGATGACTTAATACTTAAAAATGCCTCCAGGAAACCACCTGGATGTCCACCAAAGGATGCATCTACGGTGCGTCCACACCATGCTGACTACCACAGTCTGGTGTGCAAATGCCTCACAGGTGACTGCAGGCCGTGTGAGTCCACCTACAAGAAACTCTATACACGACACATGGAATCTACAGGAAGTGACAGGAAGCAGATCAGTGGTCTGGGGCCGAGGGGTGTTGGGGTAGTGAATACATGGAGTATAGACATGTCAAAATGCACCAACTCTACATCTAAACATTGGTCCATTTTATCACCTTCATATATTGTATCAAGTCTAAGTTGTATCTTAGGTGCTTTTACAAGGAAGAAAAATATTTCCAGGGAAGTTTTCTTTCCAATAGTTATCTCAAATATATCTTTTTTACAGTTTTTTTTTTTTTTTGAGAGATTTTTGCTATAGGGCATGTGTGCTTGCCAGAAAGACAGAGAGAGAGACAGATGGCGAGAAATCATCCTGGGGATGGTCACGCCGCAATCCCTTCTCCTCCATTCTTCTCTTGGGATCTAGGGCACACACGCACATGCGCCTGGCATGAGTTTAAGCCATCGGGTCTGGGACTCGAACTGTGGTCAACTACATGGGAGTCCAGGGACACCTCTTTTTTTTTTTTTTTTTTTTTTTAAGAGAGATTTTTGGTATAGGGTGGGTGTGTTTGCCAGAGAGACAGAGAGACAGAAAGTCAGAAATCACACCCCAGGGGGATGGCCATGCCACAGTCTCCTCTCCTCCATTCTTCTTTTGGGATTTTGGGCATGCACACACACACCGCCAACATGGGTTTTAAGCAACTGGGCTCGGGACTTGAACTGCTGTCGACTATGTGGGAGTTCAGCTATGTAATCATTATGCCATCTGCTGGTCCCCTCAAATACATCTTAACGTTCCCAAATGAAGCTCATTGTTTCCAGAATCACATAGTTAATGCAGTTTCTGGAACTGAGGTGTCGCATAAAGTGGTGCTTGATTCTGAGTCTGTGTCACCCCTAAGTGTTCTGTGTCACACAGCTACAAAAGGACATCAGGTGACTGAAATTCCGGTAGTCTGAGAACCTTATGATCCCCCCCACCCACCTCGGAAGTTAAGCTAGGTGGTTATCATTTCAACTACAGATATTTACTGCAGCCTGCCCCGAGTAGGCGTGTGTACAAAACTCAGCCCTGGAATCCAGCAATTTCCAGATACAGATAATGATTTCTAGAAAAGGGGGAAATGTAGAGGGTTGCTACTGAGTGTTTAGGGTAACATATTTTGTTAGCTGAAGGTTGAGAAAGGAGAACCACAAAAATATCCTCCTCAATTGTGCTATTTCCTTGATGCCACTATAAACAGAACCAGCATTTGTATCACGACACAGCTGTGTTGGTGAAGGGCCATTCTGGAAGGCAGCCATGAACTGGGGTGCACGCAGCCTCAGGGCTCACCCCAAGTCCTGACCCCTCGTCTCAGGCTCATATCCCTGCATAAAAAATCTTGGAGTGAAATTCAGATAAAGCTGGGTTTGAGAGAACCTGATGTCCTCAGATGGGCTACGGAGGCACCACGAGGGTCATCCTAGATCAGACCAACAGCACACGCACCTCCCTGTCCATTAAAGTGCTGCTGGGTCAACCCTAGCCCGGAAGGCCAGCCACAGTCCCTGGTTCCAGGCTGCCCTCCCATAAGCCCCAGCCTAATGCCCTAGGAAAGTGAGGAAGGAGAGAGACTTACCATCAAGGCCAGAGTTCGGATCTCCTAAAAAACCAACACCACACAGTCAGTGGAAGAGCAAATTAGGAGCAGTCTTGAAAATGCCCTCTACCTGGGCACAGGCCTGTGGGAGCTGGACCCCTTGACGGAGCACGGGCACAGGTAGCCCCTCACGGGTGGGCGCCATGGCGGCTGCACCACGCCTTCCCAGGCTCTCCTAGAGATCTGTGATCACTGGAAAGCACCCACCCAGCATCTTGCAAGCCAGATGTGGCACTCTGGCTATTCTCCAAGGGATGCGGCCACTTCCCTCACCAAAGGGGGAGAGGACGCAGCCTTCTTACTCTTCTTATTCTCTACTGGGGATGTCCTTCTGTATTTCTTCTCCCAGAACCCAGACCATGGTTGTGATGACCACCC